ATTTTTTTATGAAAAAATCGCAGGTTTTTAAAGAAATTCGCTGAAAAAAAATTTGAAAAAAAAACTTTTTTTTTTATAAAAAAAAAATTGATTTTTTATTTTTTTCAGCAAATTTTAATAAAAAGTTGCGATTTTTTATAAAAAAAATTCAAAAAAAAGTTTTGTGATCTTTAAGTATTTTTTTTTATGCATTTTTATGATTTTTAGAGTTTTTTTGTTTTTCATAGAACCTAAACCTATATATATATATATATATATATATATATATATATATATATATATAACACGTGACAAAAGGTTAGACAACGTATTTAGAAAATTTTCTCTTTAGAGAAAAAAAAAATCAGAAAATAAACGTAGTTGTATGTCGAAATAGATCAAGACTTAGGTTAACTAAAATGAAAAAGAATTGTTTTATTTAACTTTTTAAACTTCAAAAATAATATAAAGTTTATTTTCAATAAGAACTTGGAAGTTGGAACGTTACATTTCAATAATCCATTATTTCTTAACTTGAAATTTATATTCACTAAGGAATAGTACATTATATAGTTTCCAAAATAAAATCTTGAAACCAAGGATTATGATTAATTAAGGCAACTGATTAATGAAAAAGATTTCAGCGAATCAAAAATTTAATAATAATATCATTTCCATAATTTCCTCAAACTCATGCATAAATGCATCGTTGCTCTTTACATTCTACATCTAATTTGCAAATTTTCCTGGTTTTAATCGATAAATACACATAGTGGTGAGCAAAGTTTCAAAGCCGAAATTCTTAGAGCTATGAAGACATCAATGGCAGTGATTATGGCGGTGTTCCTGGCGGCATTTACGGTGGCCGTGGGTGGAGAAGTTTATAAAGTTGGTGGTTCTGCTGGCTGGACCAACATTGGACATGTGGATTACAAGACTTGGGCTTCTACCAAAACATTTCGAGTTGGTGACACCATTGGTAAATTTATTAATTTATGTATTTTAGATTGTTTTATTGTAGCTATTTGTTATTTTTATATTATATTTAATATATTGTTTATTTAAAATATATTAATATTACATGATTTTTTTTTTGTTTTTGTTTTTGTATGTAGTTTTTGAGTACAATAAAGACTTCCACAACGTAGCAAGAGTTACGTACACCGATTTTCTAACATGCAAGGGCAGCGCCGCTCCTTACGCCACCTTCACCTCTAGCAACGACTCATTTCCGATCAAGTACCCCGGCCACTACTATTTCATCTGCACCATTCCTGGCCATTGTGAAGCTGGTCAAAAAGTCGACATCCGTGTACCGGTCGCCGGCAGACACTCCACCCTTCCGTCCAGCTCCCCCCCAATTCAGCCACTTCCTTTCCCTTACCCACCACCTTCTGTGCCGTCTCTGTCACCAGTAAAACACTCGCCGATTAAATCGCCTTCCCCATCAATGTCTCAATCCACATCACCAGCGCCGTCTAAATCACCGTCAGCAGCGCCGTCTAAATCGTCGTCAGCAGCGCCGTCTAAATCACCGTCAGCAGTGCCTTCTCAATCCCCAACGCCACCGCCGTCTCAATCCCCATCACCAGCAGCGTCTAAATCCCCATTGCCAGCATCGTCGTTACCCAAAAAGTCTCCCCCCTCCACCCCGGCTAGTCCTTCCCCGGCAGTTGCACCGGCGCCGACCAAGAACTCTGCTAGTCAATTTGTCGGTAAAGTCAAGCTTTGGTCGACGTTAATGGCGGTTTTCTTTTCTTTGATTGGATTTAGTTTTTAGAGTAGCTAGTTAGTAACGTATTTTTCTTTATTTCTTTGGTTTATGACTTTATGTAACTAGATCTAATTTGAATTTGGTTTTCTATTTTTGTATTAGGATTCTATTATGAACAATTTACGTTTTTAAGTGTTTTAAACCTATTATTTTGTTTTCTCATGAAAAAATGTCCTACTTTTAATATTCTTGAAATATGATAATAATTGTAACCTTCAATCTTTTTGCTCCAAAATAGATTAAATTCTTCGTTGTTTTGTGATTTTATATCTTTTTAAAAGCGTTTTAGATTGTGCCCTCAAGATTGTCGTGCTTATATTTCTAACATTGTTTTTAAAAGATAGATAATTTTGATTTTTGTTTTCTACGAAAAAAAAGAGTAATGTGGTTTAAACATAGTAAGAACGTGTGTGTGTGTATATATATATATATATATATATATATATATATATATAGAAATTCAAATGTTTCTAGCAACTATTGTATGTATTTTTACACCAATTAGAATTGAGGAAATAATAAATCATTTAAGGGTATTATAGTAATCTTGACTTATTTAATTATGGCAGATAATTAATATAACAAAACTATAATGGCAATTACACATAATTACTATTTTATTAATTACGTAAAAGAATAATATCCTATAAATTAGCAAAACCACTCAAGACCATCTCCTCCCTACAACCCACCGTCGACTTAGTCAATGAAGAAAATCCCTTGCCGATTTTCAAGTCCGGTCGAGTCCACATAACCACTCAAGACCAAATCAGAAAACCCTATGCCGCCTTGCCTCCTCCCTCCGACTATCTGCTATCTTCTGTCGGCTCTCCTCCAGCATCACAAAACCCTTGATGACTCTAACCCTAAAAGAGATTTATCGTTCCATCTTCCATCACTGCAAATTAGGGCTTTATACTCTTCTCCACCTGTGTATTCTCCAACTAGAAATGAGGTGCAAGATGTCGGTTGCGATCCATTAACGTCAAGAGGAAGGGATAAGTGCCTACATTTCAGTCCCAACGTCACCTTCTTTCCGTTCTTCCTCATCTGCTTGGACTGTTTATATTAACTATGCTCTGCTCTCTAAACTGGCTGCCTTCACTGTTGCACAGTACATTAAGGTCTTCACTACTTGGTACGATTTAGTTAATTTTGATAATTAAGACCAGAATCTAGTTTTAATTGTAAACGAAAATACATCTGGGTTATGATCTCTGTGATGGGTTTTAGGTAAAACAAATAAACTAGAAACAATTCCTAAGTTCACATGCAACCTACTTTGGATC